GTAGCATTTCTGGTTAACCAGCCGTTGTCAGCCGGTTTTACTCAACCGCAGGTTTGCATGGCCTCGGATTCGAACCCGCGTTATTCGGCCACTGAGCGGCTAGTAGTGCAACGACCTCCTGATGGAACGTCGGACGTCGTCGCATCGATGGCGGGAGCGCGGGATGTCGTGGTATTGGTGGAGCTAGTGGATGTGGTAGACTCAGGGGTTGGGGCAGAGCGGATGATGACGGCGAGGCAGCGACTGCGTGATCAGGGATGACGGGGCTGGCCGCAGTCTAGGAGTTTGTGAGAGGGGCAAGAGTGTAAGAAAAAATAGACGTTGTCGGGTTGTTGGCGCATTGGGTCCGAAGGGGTTCAGCCCATAATCTCTGCTGTGTTGGTCAAAAACCTGGTTATGTGTCGTGTGGACCAGGGGGTGCGGAGTGGAGCGCCAAGGTGAGGATCCGTTCAAGCCATCCACCTGCGGCCTCCCTCGTCTCCGGTCTTCTTGGTTCTGTCTTGACACCGGACTCAGGTGCGGGAGGAGGAGAGTGTGGTAGATTTAGCGCAAGTCTACTGACACTATAAACCCCTGCGTAAGTCACCGTCCCTGCTCCCACTATCTGCTGTGGGACACACGGTGGACATCGTCGAAATCGACGGTCGAACTATCGGGTTCGAAGGTGTCCTAGGGGAACGATTGGAGGCCGGAATGTTCGCTGACACCGTGGGCAGGTGGGGCGCTGTTGAGCGTTGGCGTTGCGAAGTGGGGGCAGTTTGGAGCAGTTTTCGAGCTTTGCGTTTGGCACTGGCGGCGCTTATGCTGTTGGCTTCGTATATCGCTACGCCTGTCTTCACTGTCCTCCTCTAGGCCAGTCGGTTCCGGGAGAGATCTTCCCAGTTGCCCAGGTTGGTCTGTAGGCGTTTCAAGGAAGTCCTCATAGTGCTTACGTAGCGTTGGACTTGACTTCCTTGTTGACGAGAGCCCGTGGCGACGCTCGTCGTCCATTCATACGAGGTAGCCGCTCCAGCGCAATTGCAATTGTTTCAACATGGTGTGGATGCAGACGATTCCTGCCCGTTCCAGTACATCCGTATCCGTTGTCTGGTCCTGCCACCTCAGCTTTAGTATCTGCTGAAGACAGCTGAGATATGAGTGTTTGAGCTTCTGCGCCCCTGTTTCAGATGGCTGTTGAGGAGGTAGGGGAGAACGCGTGCGAAGACCTGTCTGGCGATGTTGAGCAGCGAGAGTCTTCTGTGGTTGTCGCAGAGTTGACAATTCCCTTTGTGACGTCCTTGAAAACCTGAGCAGCTTGTACTTGAAGCCACATCTCCTGAAAGAGCGCAGTCAGGTAATTCATTTGTTGGGGACCACCGTGTTTGTAGATCTCAGCACGGATCGCGTCCGATCCGGGCGCTTCCCCACTGGAGGGCCTCTGAACGGCCCTGATGGTTTTGTAGAGAGAGGACGAGAAGTAGAGGTCGGCGTTGGTCCCCACCTGAGACAGACGGGCGACGGCTACGTCGGAGATGGCGGAGGAGCAGTCGAGGACTCCCCTGAAGTGTTCGGCCTGTCGTTTCAAAATTTGCGTCTAATCATTAAGTAGGGCGGTTCCATCAGCGCTGAGGAGAGAAGCGGTTCTTTTGACCGTGGGACCGAAGACAGCCTTGATCGCAGTGAAAAAGTTTTTCTATTCGTTGCTGCTTGCATACCTTGGATCTCCCCGCCTTGCGAACCGTCCAGGCATCCTGCATCTTCCGTAGCCGCTGTTGCACAAGGCGTCGACTACAGCAGAAAGCTGCTTTGTTTTCGCCGATGGGGCATTTGACGCAGGCTTTGTGCGGTCGGTTCTTCTCTGCGAGCAGGTTGCTGATGACGGCGTCGTTGTCGTCGAACCAGTCCTGATGTTGATGACGTGCGCGCGCCAGGGCCGTCGCCTGGGCCATGTCTCTCTACGGAGGCGTTCTCGTCATCGGCGGCTGTGACTGGAAGGCTGGCTATTCACTGAGCCAACTCGTTGCTGAAATAGAGATGGTGAGCAGTCAAAGATAACAAACCAATATTCAGCCTACCTGGGGGTCGCTTACTTTGTGGTCTTCTGCGAGGCTGTAGGCGAATATGCATCTTCGAGATGACGAGGCGATAGTCGGTCCACCTGTCAGCATCCGCGATCGCCTTTGTCACCAGCACGTCCCTCTGGTCTCGCCTCCGGACGAGGACCCAGCCCAGCAGGTGCCACTGACGCGACCGAGGATGCCTCCAGGTGGCTTCTCTCGCTCCAGCAGACAGAAGAACATGTTCGTCAGGATGAGGCGGTGTTCTGCGCAGGTGCGGAGGAGCAGCAGACCATTGTCGTTTGAGCCGCGGAGACCATGGGTACCTAGCACTCCTCTCCAGGCAACATAGTTTGTGCCGACGCGGGCGTTAAAGTCACCAACGACGATCAACTTGTCCCCCTTCGGCACAGTCGTCAAGAGGGCGTGCAGGCCCTCGTAGAATTTGTCGCTTACGACGTCGGGGCTGGTCATCAGAGGAACATAGACGCTGACGACGGTGGCGAATTTTATTCTTTGGAGAAGTAGGCGGAGGCTCATCAAGCAATCATTAATGCTCTGCAGTAGAGAAAGCAGTCGTTTCACGATTTCGTTCGGATAGCGAAGGCGACACCCGCATCTCGTCGCTTTGCCTTGGGCGACCGCTCCAGAAGAAGAAGGTGGAACCGACACCAACCTCCTCCAGTTGGCCTTGTTCGGAGAACCGGGTCTCGCTGAGTGCGGCGATGTCCAACTTGTAGCGTGCCAGTTCTCGAGCCACTAGCGCCGTCCTGAGTTCCTTTCGGTTGCTCCTGGGATTGTCTAAAAGGGAACTAACATTTCGGACTGTCAGAGTGAGCGGACTCACCCTAGCAACCTGTGGGTCGGGACGGAGGAGAGGAGGAGGAAGGGGAAGGTCAAGAGTACTGTTTCTTGTTTTGTGGTTTCGACAGCGTGTTTAACATCTGCGAGCCACGGTCTGCGCACAAAGGACGTGGTCCCAGCATTTGTTTAGGGCACTTTTTCTTGCTGCTTAGACTTCCCAGACGACTGCCGTACTCCACAATGGTCCGCGACTTTGCGTAGTGGGAGGACAACCCGAGTCAGCCTGGGCCGCCTGCGGGATTGCATGTCAACTTCTCCGTATGAATTTTTGAATTGGAAGAGAAGGGGGAATGAGGATGAAGGGAGAAGGGAGGAAGGGAGAGGGGGGATGGGGATGAGGGTAGAATTACCGGGTGTGGGGACACACAGAATCGGATACCCATATCTAGTCTAGCCGGCGGGGCGAGGTGTGTCCGCTGGATCGGAGCCCACTGTGGTGACATGAAAAAGCGTTTTGTTTTAGTGTACCAAACATATGACTTGTATGAAACTTTGGCACAATTTCCAATAACAAGTATCGTCACGCTGCATATTTGCGGCTACTTCGTTCTTTCTAATGCTACTCGCGATTGACCGACTTAAACCATGGCCCATCTCAACTCCGATTCCAAGCATCGCTGCAGATACTGTCGCTTGCGCCTTTTGGGAACAATGGATTTTCCGTTATGGTGTCCCCACTACTATTACCACCGACCGAGGCCAGCAATTTGAATCTAGACTTTTAATGCCCTCACTGACTTCCTCGGATGCTTTCATATACGCACGACAGCTTACTATCCCTCATCCAACGGTCTACTTGAGCGTTTCCACCGTTAATTCAAAGCCTCTCTCCGGGCCTATGATAACCCTATTCATTGGAATGAGCATCTCCCTTTGGTCATGCTCGGTCTCCGCACCTCTCTAAAACTCGACTTAGAATTCTCCACTGCCGAACTTGTTTGTGGGACTACCCTACGCATTCCCGGCGACTTTTTCGGACCATCCCAAAGCTTCGTCGACCTGGATGCAATCGATGATGTCCAACGGTTGCGCCAAGCAATGGTTAATCTCCGGGCATACCCCCACGCGTTCCAGCAAGTAAGTCGTGCATTGATCCTAACTTGCTAACGTGTTCTTTTGTATTTGTCCGCGTAGATAGCGTGCGTAAGCCACTACAACAGCCCTGCGACGGACCATTTCGAGTCCTGCCGCCCACGAACAAGCATTTCAGTACCTCCCGTGGCGATCACATCGAAGAGATATCAATCAGTCGGTTGAAGGTGCCTTATACCGATCCTCCTTCGCCCACCTCAACAGATCAACCCACCTCACCTGCTACAATGCCTTCTTCGATTTCCTCCCTTCCGCCTCCACCTGATTACCCTGTGCATTCCCCCTCCCCCTCCCCCACGCGAAGCGGTCGTCATGTCAGTTTCCCTGATCGTTACAAACTTGTACATTTTGCCTAACACTTGTCCAAATTGCACCCATTTTTCACATTCGAACTGTATTCTTCTGGGAGAGGGAGTATTATAGTGACATGAAAAAGTGTTCTATTTTAGTGCGTCAAAAATACGACCCGTAGGAAACTTTGACACAACTTTCAACTACAAGTATCTTCAGGCTGCATATCTGCGGCCACTTTGTTCTTTCTAATTCCCCCCGCGATAGACCGGTTTATTACTTACATCACCATCGGGGAGTCACAAATAGGAGTTGGCTGCCAGCTAGGGACCGTAGGGAGCAGTCACCATTTGCATGGTGCAACCTGCCACTCGTGCCTGGGTGTCCTTGAGTGGACACTCCGACACCCCACACACATACAATGGTTCATACGTCGTTGCCGACGATGTTCACCGCGTGCTCCACAACAGACTGAGAGCAGGGACGGCAACTTGCGCGTAAGTTAGTTTACAGTGTCGGTAGACTTTCGCTGCGTCCACATCACTCTGTTCCCCTGTCTCCAACCTCGACCCACTGTCAAGACAAAGTCAAGAAGACCGGAGGCAGGAGTAGGCGCGGATGGCTGCACGGCGAAAACCCGAATTTAGGTGTACCACCACACCCCTTGATCCACAACGTACACCAACCAGGATTTTATACAACACGAAAATTAGGGACCGACACCGATCATGATTGGCATGGCATGGGCCTGCACACGTCTTCGAAATCTTTCCTCCAGAACTCTTCTCACTGATATTCGGCACGTTCGTCAGACCGCATTTGGAATACGGAATATCATCGCGGATGCCCTAGATGAAGAAAGACATTGATGCCATAGAGCAGGTGCAACGACGATCCACAAAACTGGTGGACGGTCTCAGGATTCTGTCATACCCAGAAAAACTGATCCAGCTAAACTTGTTCCCCCTATCTTATAGACGAATGAGGTGTGACCTTTTACGGACATTCCGCATTATTCACGGACATGATTGTTAGCTCAAATCTGAAGACTTCTTTGAATTCACGACCATGCGTCACCTGCGCGGTCATCCGTACAAAGTCAAATGGGAGCGTATAAGCCTAGACCATCGGAAGTTTTCCTTCAGCCAACGTGTTGTTCGACTGTGGAACTCACTCCCAAGTGAAATAGTGACATCTGACACAATGGCTGTATTCAAAATGCAGTTGGATCGTTTGATCTTTGATAACCGATGATCCTCACTGCAGGACTATCTGCGGCCAGCCATAAATTTCATTTCTTGATTTCATCCCTACGTAACACATCCCTGACGTTTGAATGTGCGTGCCGACACACCCCAACGTTGGCATTTGTTGTGGGTGCGCATTCTCGATAACGCCTGCTGGAATCCGATCCAGCCCCTCTGTTGATCCAGCACATCTACTGCATGACCTGTTTTAGGAACACAACAGCACGATACACTGCAATATCGACGCACCAAGCACGTCCTGCACATCTGACTGCTCATCTATCCCCAGGACTACCAACTCCCCATCCACTAGCGCGGCCACCACAAGCAACATCATCACCGCAACCGACTCAGCGCCTTCCAATTCTTCTTGCCTACATTATCACCGCACAGGCACATTACACATCAGTCTGGTCGGTCACTCGCAAATCCATTGCACAGAGGCTGACGAACCAGTGTCTGGCGCACCAGTAAACACCCGTCGCCCGCACTGTCCACGAATATTTAACCATCGTACGGGCCTGCTCAGTCGTATGCACCTCCGTGGAAATTTGCGGAATAGATCACACCTCCCCATAAATGGATGCACCACACCTGAATGCATCAAAAATCACACACATCGGACACAAACTAGGCACCCCTCATGCAAGTGGGAGGTGTGTTTCTCGGCTCCCTCTCCATGCGGCTCCTCGGTGACATGTGAGATCTAGGGAGTCCAACCTCCGTGTGAAATTCTGGTTCATGTGTGCGGAAGCCAGGTCGTGCGTTGCACGCGCAGACGGGTTGATTTAGTTCTATCAGCCACTGCCCCCAAGCTCAGCTTTAGTTGACCTGCTCGGGCAATCGACTGGTCCACGATAAAGCGAAGACAGGGAGGTCGACGACCTAGCGCACTTCCTTCACTATGAACAATCTGACGCGCTCGCAGTTTTTGTGTGAGGCGATCAGCTGGTGGAGCGGGATCGGACTGCAATGGTTGTCTCCTAATCTGGACTTCATTGCTCTCCCACTTAGTTGGGGTCCGAACAGCCCCTTTTCTTGTTGTGGGAAATCCTCCTGCTGTATTGCGTGGATCAGGTGGTGTGGTAACACACCTAGGTGCCGGTTCACTCCGCACCAGTCGCCTGCGTCCTCTCACCACACCCGGTCTTCTTGACTCTGTCATGACACCGGGTCCAGGTGGGAGAAGATGAGGGAGGGTGGTAGACGTAGCGCTAGTCTACTATAAACTAACTTACACGCAGATTACCGTTCCCTGCACCCACCATGCTGTGGGACACGCGGTGGACATCTTCGGGATCGACGGTTAAACTGTCGTTCGTAAGCCCGAGTCAATGTGTCTGATGGCCCGGTTCCAATTTAGCTCCCCTGCCCAGTGACGTCCCACTCGGTGACGGG